GTGTTTAATAGGAACGAAGTGCCCACTACTTTACCTGATGTGCGTATATTGTGTCATATACCAGCGTCCACATCACTCCTGAGAAGTATAGCGGGAGACACACGGACCAATCACAAGAGCCTTTAATAGCGGACCAGCCGAGCAGAGCGCCCCAGTTGAAAGTGAGTCCTAAAGGGAGAGAAGAGAACAAGAGAACAGCTATAGCTCTGGTAATCTGTAAAATATTAACTCTAGACAAAGAACACTACAAGATAATTTTACACAGCACATACCCAACACAAACTGTGGCCAGTAAGTGAACCTCTTCATCAGCGGGTAGGTGATAACAAGAGATAAAGAAGCAGCACCCAGAGCTATACTGTGAGAGCATTTTGAACAATGTGAGGGAAAGACTGCAAAATAACTGGATAAATAATCACTTTTAGTTACACTATGAAAATTAAACACACTGTAGTAATATTGTGATCCAGTTCAACTGCTGCACTGATTTTTTTTTCTCATGACTCGGAGGATTTAATCTAACCTATACACCTGTTCCTTTTCTTCTATTTATATTTTCCTAATAAAATGTAATTAATGTTCATACATAAAATTGATTCTGAGTACCTGTAATAGTTGAGACACAAAAGAACCCCAAGTGCAAGCGAGAGCTGCCCTCCCAGGAAGACCAGCGCCTGCATTCGAGAAATCTCTCCTGATGCGATTGGTCGAGAGGCTGTGCGGGACACCTGCGCAAAAACACGAACACTTTCAATTTATCAGAGCTGAAAAATAAAGAAACACTTTGAGCAGGGGAGTGACAGTGACACAGGTAAGTCTAACGTCTGCTTGGCAATGGAAGTTTTATTTACTTTATTGCAAAAACATGTCCTGTTCTTTGTTTGGAGTCAGCTGTAAGAAAATCTCATTTACTTTTTTGTCGAAGTCTTTGTCCCACATGTCATTGATGGTGCAGCCAGCCCCTCTCATGAGAAGAGCACCTGTACCAAACAGTGTGAGCATGCCCAGATCTGGGAAGCATCCAGGGTTAGCAGCCAGAGCAATGCTCCATGTGCAGGGGAGGTACAGCAG